GTGTATCAACTGATAAACACAATTCTTAAAAAATAATTTGTTTTCTTAAAACTGTTAACATTCTTTTTAGTAATAACAGCAAAGAATTTGGTAAGTTTTGTCCAGAACCATTTAAATGATTATAAACTCCAAGAATAAGGTTTTAATTTAATTCTCAGAAAACATTAAAGGTTCTTTATAATTTATTTACCATTATCATTAGTAAAATAAATCTGTATCACTGCTCCTCTTCCAAAAGCTATTTCTAACAAATCCTTTATCTTTGATAAGTATTGCAAATTTTTAAAAACAATAACATAAATAAACTGAGGAAAGTGCATTGCCCTGTACCCCAAACTTGGAAAGTCATGCTGATGAATTAGAGATCATTTTTTGAAATGAAAACTCCAGCAAAAAGCTGCACATGTGTCTTCACTCTGGCACTACCATGTTTTCATGATTCCACCACCTTTCAAGTAAAATATTCTTTAAATACTGAAGATTAGAGTTGCAATAAATATTTGAGGTACTCTGGCTTGTACAGTGTTTATTTAGTCACAGTTAAAGCAAAACAGGACTACCTTTAAGTAAAATTGTTAACTAGGTTGCTTAAAAAAAAAAAAAAAAAAAAAAAAAAAACTCTCTCATCTCTTCTGAGTTCAGAGCCCTGAAAAAGCAGAGAAAGCACTAGTATCTTTTCCAGCAGTCATTTACACTGGATTATCTGATCATAGTCACACTTGAGTGTGAACTCTAGAATGTTTTTTTTTTTTTTTTTTTTTTTTTTTGAGACGGAGTCTCGCTCTGCCGCCCAGGTTGGAGTGCAATGGCCGAATCTCAGCTCACTGCAAGCTCCGCCTCCCGGGTTCACGCCATTCTCCTGCCTCAGCCTCCCAAGGAGCTGGGACTACAGGCACCCGCCACCACGCCCGGCTAGTTTTTTGTATTTTTTAGTAGAGACGGGGTTTCACGGTGTTAGCCAGGATGGTCTCGATCTCCTGACCTCGTGATCCACCCGTCTCGGCCTCCCAAAGTGCTGGGATTACAGGCTTGAGCCACCGCGCCCGGCCGAACTCTAGAATGTTATCTCATGTATGTACTTTCATTTCAAACTTTTTTTTTTTTGAGACAGAGTCTTGCTCTGTCACCCAGCCTGGAGTGCAGTGGCACTCCAGGAGGTTGCTCACTGCAACCTCCACCTCCCAGGTTCAAGTGATTCTCCTGCCTCAGCCTCCTAAGTAGCTGGGATTACAGGTACATGCCACCATGCCTGGCTAATTTTTGTAGTTTTAGTAGAGATGGGGTTTCGCCATGTTGGTCAGGCTGGTCTCAAACTCCTGACCTCGTGATCCTCCCGCCTTGGCCTCCCAAAGTGCTGGTATTATAGACGTGAGCCTCCGTGCCCGGCCTCATTTCAAACTTTAATTAATATTCATGAATATCCAGCTGTACTAGAATGAGGCAGAACTGGCAATCTAGTTTTGAGCCTGGGCTTTAACAGACTGTTTTCCCACTTTTTCTCTTATGCCTCTGCCATTGTCATGAGGATAACATGCCTCAGCTAGCCTGCTGGTCCAATGAGGCAGAGAAACATGGAGCAAATCCTAGATCAGCCAACCTCTGACTGACTTGCAGACATGAAAAATAAATGCTTATTGTCACATGCTACTGAAGACTGTATTGATTAGCTATGCTATGTTTATGATCAATGAAAGGCTTTCCTCTCCCTCACTGACAGGTGTTTCTTTCATCCCCCTAGAGATCTTTTTGCCTCTAAGTATGATGAAGTCCTATTGTGAGCCTAGACTCATGTGTCCTTCTCCCACGTTGCTTATATTCTCTGATCCGAGTCTCAATACCAATGAGCCAGGACTTAGATTATCAATTGAAATTACTACTGGCAAAGACTTTCTCACTCAGATGGTTCTGTCTCCTCTCTTAGAGAAGTAAAACCCCAGCAAATATAACTGTATGGTATTTTTTTTTTTTTTTTTTTTTTTGGTAAAATGAGCTACTGGAACCATAGTACATGGTAATCTTGTTACCACACTGGGCAGGTTTTCCATAATATCCTCAAGTAGAATATCCTCTACTTTTTGCAAAGTTTGTAACTGAGAGAAAGTCAGGTTGCAGTCACTGTTTTATGACCAGTGTGAGGTTTAGTAAATACATATAGGTTAAATGAATAATAGAGATGAATGGCAAATGGATATCAAGGACTATGACCCTGATGATTATCATAGATCCTGAAGAAATAATAAACAAATAAGAGGGGGAAAATGCATAATTACAGTCCAATCCAGTAAATTATTTATTTATTTATTTAAATTTTAGTAACAACGAGGTCTCCCTATGTTGCCCAGGCTGGTCTCAAACTCCTGTGTTCACATAATCCTCCTCCCTTGGCCTCCCAAGGTGCTGAGATTACAGGTGTGAGCCACGTGTGCCCAGCCTATTTACTATTTGTATAACAAAAGAAGTAATAATCACATTAACTTGTGTTTCATTTGATCAGGACAATAATTCTACTTGTGTATACTTTTCAAATCTGTTGCTTATGTAGCATATTTTTCAGGACAGAGTAAAAAAAAATTTAGAAGTAACATTCCTTGCAGCATACCTGATCCAGTTTAGCTCTCCTTAGCTTCTGCAGCGTTCTATCTGAGGTTAAAACTTTTGAACTGCTGTGAGCTTCAAAATACTCTTCCACTAAGTCACTCTGAAAGTGAACAGAGTAGTCAGTCCTTAGTAGCTTCAGATATCTGTCTTATATCAAAATTAGACAGTAATATTAATGTAAAATAGGACATGTGAAATTCTTTACTTGGTAGTCTTTTTAAAGCAACAGTACCAGTTAAGGCCAAGCATATTTAATTTCAATAATAAAACTGAGTAATTACTAGGATCATATAAGTTAAATGACTAGATGAAGTAGTAGTCTGTTCCTAAAAATGATTCCTAAGTTACAATATGTAATTTCCATTTAGACTAAAAAAAGAGAGATGATTTTACATATCAAGATCTTTCTTTCTCCTCAAGTAAATCTTTTTTTTTTTTTCCTTTCTTTATTGAGGAAGGGTCTCACTCTGTCACCCAGGCTGGAGTGTAGCGGTGCACATACGGCTCACTGTACCCCCAACCTCCTGGGCACAAGGGATCCTCCCACCTCAGCCTTCCAAGTAGATGGGAAGGCAGGCATGCACCACTACACCTGACTAATTTAAAAATTTTTTTTTTTTTTTGCAGAGACAGGGTCTTACGTTATCCAGGCTGGTTTCAAACTCCTGGCGTCAAGCAATCCTCCCACCTTGCTCTCCCCAAGTGCTGGGAAACAGGCATGATGCCTGGCCTCAAATAGTCTTAGCAAATTCTTTAATATTAGTATAGCTGAAGTACTGTGAAAATGAGGAGGAAATCGACTGCAAGGTAATAAAAGAAAAAAACCACAAACAAACCAAAAAACTTGCCTACTATTCCAGTCAAGTGGAATTTTCTTCTCACACTATTTGTTCTTCTTATTTTGGGCAGGACTAAACTCTAGGGTGGCAAGAAAGGGACAGAAAGCTATTTAAGCAGTAGGCTCCTCAATTGCTCTGAACCTTTAGATGCAGCACCAGGATAATTAGCCTTTTCTAAAACCAGGGTGCCTGCAGTATTCTTCCAAATGACTCAGCATGGGTCCCTAGCCACATCATTCATTACACTGACTTAAATACATCAACAATGGTACAAAAACAAGATACACTGAGAACTCATGACTCCAACTGTCCAATCAATATTTACTTAAAAGTTCAGTTTTTTCTTTTTGTTATTTTTCATTCTAATCCTATAGCATATTTTAAAAATTATTTATTTATTTATTTTTGAGACAGAGTTTCACTCTTGTTGCCCAGGCTAGAGTGCAATGGCATGATCTCGGCTCACTGCAACCTCCGCCTCCTGGGTTCCAGCAATTCTCCTGCCTCAGCCTCCCAGGTAGCTGGGATTACAGGCACACACCACCACACCTGGCTAATTTTTATGTTTTTAGTAGAGATGGGGTTTCACCATGTTGGCCAGGCTGGTCTCGAACTCCTGACCTCAGGTGATCCACCCACCTTGGCCTCCCAAAGTGCTGGGATTACAGGCATGAGCCACCGTGCCTGGCCTAAAAAGTTCATTTTTATACAACAGAATTGAGATGTCACTTTTAAGATGTACTATTTAGCATATACTGTGGTATTAATTCATGAATATGTAGACAGGCCAGAACAGAAAGTCAAGAAGTAGAAACTGATATATGTGGGCATTTATGTGGAAGGCTGAGAAAATATAGAAAAGTGAAGAAAAAATATTATTTTGAGAGATGTGGATCTCTTAGGGTAGCCTATCTTTGAGATATTACACAATTTTTCTTTAAGGTTAAAGTCTCTCTCTTCACTTACTGTTTTATCTCTTTTCATTCTCTTAGAAGGTGTTTCTTTGCAAACAGGAGCTGAAACTACTCTATTCTGAGCTGGAATCTTTTGGCTGAATATGACTGCATTAGTGTCCTCTTCATGTTCCTGTGCAACCCCTTCATCATCCTCTGAGTTGGAAGCAGAATATTCGCTTTCACTGTCAGAATGAGACCTTGGAACTGTGGGGGGAAAAATAGCAATTTGGACAATTTCATGGTTTGACAAGAGAGGCATTGTGGGGTAAAGGAAAGAGTGGGGGCTCTGAAGTAAGAGTCTGAATTCTGGTTTTGTCATTACCTGCTCATGATTTCACCAGAGCTAATTAATAAATTCTCTCAGTACTGGTTTACTTATCAAATTAACAGTACATAATTTTAATAAACCATTAGGAAGATTACACTGAAATGTATATAAAGCCACTAATAATGCCTGACACTCAGGAACTGTGATAGAAATTGTTAATCATACCTAACACCGTTCTCCTTCCCTCTTCCTTGCTAACAGAGCTCTAATTTTACAAAATATGGCAATGTGCCCCATCCTAGGGGATGATTCATCGTAACTGCATTTTTCTTCTTCTAGGTACCTGCTTTCCCAGCCTCTGCTCCAACTATGGTTGACTATGTGACCCCTGGACCAATGAATTGAGGGAAAATAGCTGGCAGTTCTGAGAAAGATTTTCATCAGTTATGTAAGAAAAACCCCTATTTATACCCATCGTTTAAAGCTATGAAAGCCATTTTGCAACATGAAGTATCAAACCTAAAGATGAAAAATGCTGGTGGCAGAGTAAAAAGATAGGAACAATCTGGGTCCTTAATGACACTGTTGAGTCACATCAACCATGGAACTTGCATCTCCATATTTGTTTTGATGTGAGATACCTAAATGTCTATGGCTTAAACTACTATTATAGAATTTTCTGTTGCTGCCTATTGACAATGTCATTCTAACTAATATAGCACTCAATAAATGGTACTTATGATTATAATTATTACTAATACATATACATACACCATCCCAGAGTTGATTCAAGAATCATCTTTTTAGACAAACCACAACCTCACCCGTACAACTCCCCAGAAATAATATAGCTAGTTTTACACTTATTAAATAAGAATAAAGCCAGTTTCACAATCAACAGGCATAAAACTGTTTTTAAAAGCTAACTTCCAAAATATGAGTGAAAAAACTTTATACTGCAGAGGATTATCCCAAGTCAGAATGTAACAAACGTAAATATTAAAAAAAAAAAAAAAAAAAGCTTAATTTTGTAAGCACATATAGCTTAGCAGATTCAAATGTGCATTGACTGCTGCTCATGGTATATGCACAGCTTAGAAGTGGTGGCAGGTAGCAGAAAGTGTCTCTACCTTCTTTACACGTATGCTTCCTCCATGTAGGTATATATGTTTTGTGGTGATTAAGAAGGAAGAGGGAAGTTCACCTTCTCTCTAAAAAACAACCCATCTTTGGGATAAGGAGAAAACACAAGACATGGGATATAGTTGACATGAAATAACAATCACAACTATACAGACCTTTTACTGCTTTAATATACCAAATCATTTAGCATTACCAATTTTATGGTGATTAAAAATACAGTTTTAACAATTCTATGAAATCCGTACCTTGAAAAGAAAGGGCTATGAAGTTATAAAGCCCTGATGTTAGGCTGAATTTAACAATGTTGGCTAATACTACTCTTGTCAAGGATCAGCATTATGAAAGGTATTGGCATTTTCCTGATATGTAAAGGTCCAGTCATTTGCCCCAAAGTTAAATATTCAAAAATCTGAAACGATTTTTAATTTCCTAGAAGGCAGGAGCCATGTCTGTTCACTTGATTTTGTTTAGCATTCAGTACAACTATGAATATTTAATATTATTTCATTATAAAATTTCCAAATAAATCAATAGAATAATTTCCAAACTGTCTCAAAACTGTCTTAAAAGGCATGTTATTTCTTTGGAAAGACCTTTTAGCTGACTTCAATATACACTGACTACAATGTGAAAGACATGGTGCTAAGCGTTGCAGCTAAAAGCCAAAGATTCAAAACACCAAGCAGTCTAAGTCTAGAACCTATATACTTAACTACCATTGCCTGTTGTTTAGATGTTGCTTTTTATAAAAATGTCATGTAAAAAGAAATACGTACCTATTAATCTTTTTCTTAGACTACGAGGTGCTGTTGACAGAAATTCACTTTTGTCATTGTTCTGTTTAAAAACAGGAAAAGCATTAAATAACAACATAGAAGTTAATGACTGATCTGAGTGAAAGAGGCTAGAAAAGAAAAATATTTTGCTTTCAATAGACTGCATTAGAGCTAGATGAGCTTACTTCCTAGAACTAGAAGATAATGACAAATGAATTATTTGGAACAAAACAAGGGTATAACAAAAGAAACAAATTCCAAAGGATTACTAGAGTGATTCTAGAAATTGCATTCTATATTATTTGTAAAGTATGTATGTACTTCTATTATGTACAGAAAAAATATGAGTATATCAGCCTTTTGAACTACTTTCACCTATCAGATTAGTAGAACATATATATACACACACACACACACACACACACACACACTTTTTTCTGAGACAGAGTCTTGCTGCATCACCCAAGCTGGAGTGTAGTGGCGTGATTTCGGCTCACTCCACCTCACTGCAACCTCTGCCTCCCGGGTTCAAACCATTCTCCTGCCTCAGACTCCCAAGTAGCTGTGATTATAGGCGTGTGCCACCACGCCCAACTAATTTTCTTATTTTTAGCAGAGACAGGGTTTCACCATATTGGCCAGGCTGGTCTCAAAACTCCTGAACTCAAGTGAACTGCCCACATTAGCCTCCCAAAGTACTGGGATTATGGGCATGAGCCACCGTGCCCAGCCCAATAGAGTATTTTTTTAAAAGATAGTATTACGTAGCAATCGTAAGTATGAAAGGGAATGGGCACTCCTATGTATATGGCAATGGGCCTTTTAATGTGCTAGAAATTTACTGGTGTTAAAGTATTACATTCTTTAAGGAGAGAAATAGAGATTTACACTTTCTTACTTTCTGTAAGAAATTTAAAAATTGTAATTTTTAATTTAACAGAAATAAAAAAATTTCTGTTACAATTAAAAAATTGTAACTTTTTATAGAAGTACAAAGAATTTTTTTATAGAATACTTTACTACCATAAGTTGTTAGCACATTAAAATATCCACTGTTAAATACATGTAAATTTCTAACAGTATTGATAAAAAAGTTAAGGTACCCTGTGATTTTATCAACATGAAAATATGACAAAAAAATTTAAGTTTATTGTCTTGTGATAGATTGTTGGTGTCATTAAAATCTGATTTGGGATATTAAGAATAGTACTCTAGGCCAGGTGCAGTGGCTCATCCCAGCACTTTGGGAGGCAGAGGCGGGCAGATCACCTGAGGTCGGGAGTTCGAGACCAGCCTGACCAACATGGAGAAATCCCGTCTCTACTAAAAATACAAAATTAGCCGGGCATGCTGGTGCATACCTGTAATCCCAGCTACTTGGGAGGCTGAGGCAGGACAGCTGCTTGAACCTGGGAGGTGGAGGTTGTGTTGAGCCGAGGTCATGCCATTGGACTCCAACCTGGGCAACAGAGTAAAACTCTGCCTCAGGAAAAAAAAAAAAGAATAGTAATCTAATAACTGAGCTAATCCCTTACCGATGGAATTACAGTATGTCTCAAACTTTTTTGATCAAGATCCTCAAAAATTTTTACATTTTGTCATCTTGACCCAGTACATGCATATATATAAACCAAAAAAATTATAAAACAGAAATTTAAAATTCTGTTCTACTTCATTTGTTAAAAATGCAGTTTATGTCTTATTAAACTGATTTCATGATTGAGTATTGAGATAACTTATATAATATATACACAGCTTAAGTCTGAGAATTCACAACACCAGTGTCAAAATAACCATTGCAGAAAATTCCTGCTCAAAAAGACAAGACTAATAAATAATTTCCCTACTTGCTATAGAAAATTTCTGCAAACTAATCTCTCTTGACGGTTTGCTCATTTGGGCAAACTGTTCTCCTATCAGGACAACAGATTACTCCCAGGGCAAACAGCTTATCTTATCAACAGTTTAGTTATCAAGATACACTTTAAGACACGATCTTCATTGTGTCTACCAATCCTAAAATATCATGTCCCCCAATTCTGCCCAATACCAATCAGTTTACCATCTTGAAAAACCTGCCTTAAGCCACTTAAGCCCAGGATCCCCAAGCCCTATACATATTTTCTCTTGAACTTGCTTTTCTAAGACAGTACACTAAGATTCTGTCACAACGATGTTGTCTCTTATTGTAATAGGTAGCTCTGTTTCATCAACAGGTTTTTCTGGTCTTTTGGGAGAGTTGACAATATCTACTAATGGGTTATAATCTATAACTTGAGAAAGAATAATCTAAATTCTTGATTGGATTATGGCAATGAGCTTTTTTTCCTTTTATAGTGATACAACACACAAGACATAATATAGGAAAAAAGCATTATTAAAGACAATTGAAATTCTGGCATGTCTAATCCCATACACAGACTTGTCTAAATAGGACATTCCTGCACAGGCCATAAGCATGGCCTTAAATGACGCATAAGAATCACTTGAACCTGGGAGGTGGAGGTTTCAGTGAGCTGAGATCGCCACCACTGTACTCCAGCCTGTACTCTATACTGACTGTGGAGGCAAAAGTGACTCCATCTTGGATGCTAATCCATCATGTTAACTTCTGATTAGCCCCAGACTCATGAATGCCTCCTGATTCCTACTTTATTTACTGTCTTCTGTGAAAGAACATGTCAACCTTGATATTATCACACAAATTACAGGCTACAATGCATATAGCATTCTTGCCATCTTGACAATTAAAGAGGGTTGCCTTTAATTATCTTGCTGGAACATGTATACCCTTTCCTTATGCTATGTAAGCCATGGCTCTGGGGAGTAACAGTGAAGAGAGCTACCCTGTCTTGTGGCTGCCCAAGACCATGCTCCTGTCTCTAATAAAATACCCTTTACTGACAAACTAAACTTGTCTGCCTTCTCCTTTGGCTTCTTGGCTCCTTTGGCATTTGGGGGATGCTTTGCATATATGGCCCTTTCCTGGAACACTCAACACTCGAAAAGGCATAATGAGAAAATTATACCACAAAAACACAAAGGAGGCCAGGCGTGGTGGATCACTTGAGGTCAGGAGTTCAAGACCAGCCTGGCCAATATGGTGAAGCCTTGCCTCTACTAAAAATACAAAAATTAGCTGGGTGTGGTGGTTCGCACTTGTAATCCCAGCTACTCAGAAGCCTGACGCATAAGAATCACTTGAACCCGGGAGGTGGAGGTTTCAGTGAGCCGAGATTGCCACCACTGTACTCCCGCCTAGGTGACAGAGTAGGACTCCATCTCAAAAACAAACAAACAAAGAAAAAACCCCACAAAGGAGGAGATAAAAATTGTCAATTCCTTTTAATTACTCTGGAATGGATTTGCCTAAGCCAGCCTAAGTTTTCAAATGTAAATTATAAAAGGATAGAATAATGGATCTAAGGTATCTTGGGATCAAACTGTACAACACTGCCCCCTTCCCCCTGCAAATGAAATAGAACATGACATATAAAAGCAAAACCCCCAAAATTTTCAGGCCCGCTACACACAGCAGAAAAAGCACAACAGTTGGGTCTGGGAGGCCTGGCTTCATTTTCTAGCTGTTCTCCTTCCAGTCAACTGAACTTACACAAGTCACTTCACCTCTCTGAACCTCCAATTCTCCATCTATAAGTTAGATATTTAACTGCCAAATATCTGTAAATTACAAAGCACTATATAAATTAAGAGATCAATTTTTTCATTGAATTTCTGGTAATTTTTCATCGAATTTCTGACGATTTTTCATCATGTCTTACTTTGTAACACTAAGGCTTTTGCTTTTTAGTCAATCACTTACCTTCGGCTGAACCTTGTCTGAAGCAGAATGGCCTAAAGAATGAAACAAAAAGCCATGACTTACTACGGACACTTTACTTTTCATTGTGGTCTAGTTTCATCAAAAGTAGTTTCCAGGCATGGTGGCTCACACCTGTAATCCCAGCACTTTGGGAGGCAAGGCAGGAAGATTGCTTGAGGCTAGGAGTTCAAAACCAGCCTGGGCAACATAGCGTGATCCTGTGTCTATTCAAAAAATTAATAATTTAAAAAAAAAAAAAAAAAAAGCAAAGCTGCAGCTTCTACATAGAAGCCACCACATTATTACTGAATTATAAATTAATTCCCTCTCCACCGGAGGATTATCACTATTCATTTCATGATCACTCACATTATTAACAGCTACTTCCTGCATTTCTGTAGCATTCTAACAAGAAAAATAGAGCCCTTTTAAATTTT